TGTCACTTATAGGATCATTCCAAAAACACAAATTTTTTAGGACCAAAACGGGGTCCGATTTGGGACTAAAAACTAATTTGGCCAATCTTACAAGGTTACCTATTTACTAAGAGAAAATTATAAATTTGGTCTCGTCAGATTGGGGCGTTCGCAAGTTTAGCCCCAGGAGACGCAATTTCAGTCCTTGACTAATTTTTGTTGCGTAATTGGTCCTACACCGTAAAAGATTAACGGATATGTCACGCGTGAGTCACGTGGCCGTTGGTCATTAGTTTGAAAAGGGAGAAAATTGCAACTATAATCCCATAAGATTGGTTTTGTTGCAAATTTAGTCCCAAATATTGAAAAATAGTTTATTATTATTTTTTGTTTCAATTTTATTCCGTGAATATATAACAATATTTGATAGTAAAAATTTAGTTTTGAGAAAAAAAACAAAAAAAATTATACAATGTTTTCTATATATTTAAATATATTTGATATATATAAATTCAAATATATTTGAATTTATATTATTATGTTTTCTGTATTTGAAATATTTTTAATTAAATAATAACTATATTTACAAAATAATTATTTAATTTTATCATAATTATATTGGTTGATACAAAATAAAAATATAATTGCAAAGGTTAATAAAAGTTTAAAAGGTAAAATAAAAATAAAAATAATATCAAAATACTATTATTTTTAAAATTGGGCTAAACTGACTGTTGAATCTAGAATCGGTCAAATGGTTGGATTCCTTTGAACAAACTAGCTTCCAATGAACCAGCCAAAATTGGTTGATCGGACTGGTAAAAAAATAATATTTCCTTGTAAAAAAATTAGACATAGATTTAAAATATTATTTATATTATTGAAATATAGGACAACCAATTAACCTACAGGCTAGTGGCTCGAGCTAGTGGTGAACGTGGGTTGGTATGGTTCGTGAATTGATAAAATCGTACTAAAATTCGGAGATCCCAAAATTCGATCATCGGAACCGTACCAAAAAGTCGGTTCGGTTCGGTTCGGTTCGGAGATTTTTATTTTTCGGTTCGTTTCGCGGGACTATTGGGACGGTTCGGTATGGTTTGGTTCAGATCTTCGGAGATTTCTTATTTTTTTAATTTCTTTTTGAATGACTACCTAGTTATATTTTAATTTTTATATGCTTTTAAAATTTAAATCATTCATCAATAATTCATCATGTTGAAGATTTTATGTTGAAATTAATTTTAAAAGTTACTCTAAATTTTAGTTATTTAATTTTATATGCTTTAATAAAACCAACATTCATCAATACTTCCTCATGTTAAAGGTTTTATTTTGAAATCAACTTTACAAGTAACACTAACTTTTAGTTAAGACTAAATTTTTGCAACTAATATTGAAAATTTAAAATTCAAACAAAATATAATTTTCTTTTTTCATAAAATAAATTCTTTAACCTTTCATATTATTTAAAATAA